AGCATATTAAAAAGCAGAGATATTACTTTGCCAACAAAGGTCCGTCTAGTCAAGGCTATGGTTTTTCCAGTAGTCATGTATGGATGTGAGAATTTGACTATAAAGAAAGCTGAGCACTGAAGAATTGACGCTTTTGAAGTGTGGTGTTGGAGAAGACTCTTGAGAGTCCCTTGGACTGCAAGGAGATCCAACCAGTCCATCCTAAGGGAGATCAGTCCTGAGTGTTCATTGGAAGGACTGATGTTGAAGCTGAAACTCCAATACTTTGGCCACCTGATGCAAAGAACTGACTCCTTGGAAAATACCCCAATGCTGGGAAAGATTGAAGGCAAGGGGAGAAGTGGATGACAGAGGATGAGATGGTTGGATGGCATCACTGACTCAATGGAGGTAACTTTGAGTGGATTCTGGGAGTTGGTGATGGACAGGAAGACCTGACAAAGAGTCAGACATGACTGAGAGACTGAACTGAACTGAAGGTAGTCACTACCTTGCAAAGTTGCTATTTTCTGCATGTTCATGAGGGCTAGAAAGTGCTTCCTTTTATGGAGACAAGATCAACCACTAGGTAATGTACACTCATTGGTCTAAGTTGTGCTTGCTGAGATTATATAGAGGAGATCAACTCATCTACATGATAGCCCTGTAGATATTTGAAGGTGGTTATCCCACATCCTTAGGTCTCTAGTTTCCTGGGTAAACTACCCCAGTTCCTATAACTATTCCTCAAAGGATGTAGTTTCTAGGCCATTCATCATCCTGTTGCCCAACTTGGACATACTCCAGCTTGTCAACATCACTCTTAAAATGCAGTGCCCAGGATGAAACACTATCCTCCAGGTGTGATCCGACCACTGCAGGGTGTACTCTGGGACTATTACCTTACTTGTCCGAGCCACCAGCCTTCCATTAATGCTGGTTCAGACCACATTTGCTAGTTTTGGCAGCCAGGTCACATCACTGGCTCAGGTTGCATTTACTGTCAACTAAAGCCCTGGGTCTTTTTACATGTGAGGAGCACTTAAGTCAGGGTAGTCTGCTATAGCCAAGAGCATGACTGGATTCATGGCTCTGCTGCTCTTCTAATATTACCAACAATACTGAGAGCAGGATTAAAAACATTCCAGACTTCCCTGTTCACCCGTAACCAAACTCCTGGCATTTCAGCAATTTTCATAGTTGAAGAAGAAGAAAGAAACAAAAAAGAAAGGGTGCACGTAGGGGATCCAAATGCCCTAAATATCCACCTATTTGGGCAGCCAGAGGACTTCCCTCCTGATCCTGAGCTAAATGCTGTAGCTACTAGGGTGTAACTACGCTTGTAGTGGAAAGAAAATAAACAGAAATACAGAAACTCAGGTGCCAACGTGTTATCAACAGAGAGTTGAGTTTACTGCCACTTATCTCAGAGACAGAATGCTCAAATTCACATTTTGAAGGGAGGATCCAGGCAAAGAAGACAAAATATATTGTTAGGTGCTTCCTAAATAGTGCTTGTGAAAACTTTAAAAAAAAGACGAAGAGCTTTGGTTTTTCATCTTGATGTTCTTAATATCGATACATGTGACAGGTACTCAGTAAATATTTA